TTGGCATGGAATTTCTAAAATGTCTCTAACATTCCTTCTTTTGGAAATCCAGGGTATTGTAAAGGCACATCATCTCATAGACCCTTCAGAAGCCAAAGAGTCTTGCTATTTCTACACTGGATAATCTTAGGTCAGGATTTCTAAATACTCAGGCTAGTACTTTAAAAACCTCAAAGGGAAAGAGAATCCATACCTTTTCCTTTTCAGTCATTCTTGGGGTGCTTGCATAGCCACAAGTTCATTCAGGACAACATTTTCCTTTACACAACCCCCTTAACTATATGTGTCAAACTGAAGGGCTGAGAGCTGACGTAAACATTATCTCTAGGTATATCCAGAAAGCTGTTTTCAGAATACATTAGGATTTGAATCAGTAGGCCAAGATGGTCTGCCCTCCCTAAAGTACACAGGCAACATTTAATCATCTGTAGTCCTGCAAGTATGAATTTTCTCTTTTTTGTCTTGTTTTATTTGTTTGTGTTTTGGTTTTGAGATGTAACCCCAGGCTGGCCTGGAATACCTTACTTAGATCAGGATGGCCATGAACTTGGTGTCTTATAGTCTCCACCTCCTAAGTGCTGAGATTACAGATTTATACCACCAGGCCTGACTGGAGAGAGTCCTTTTGAGATGAGATCTCTTTCTCCTTCTGCCCTCAGACATTAACATTCATAGTTCACAAGCCTTTGAACTTGGAGCAGACATTACCTGACCACTGCCTCTGATCTCTAATTTGCAAGGATTCCGATTTAGGCAGAAATACACTACTGGTTTTCTTGGTTTTCCAGGTTGCAGGTGGCAACCTGAGAACTTTTCAGCTTTCATAATGCATGAGTCATTTTCCATCATCTCTCTCTCTCTCTGTCTTTCCTCTCTCTCTCTCCTCCCTCTCTCTCTCTCTCTCTCTCTCTCTCTCTCTCTCACTCTCTCTCCTCTTATTATCCTATTCAGTTCCTTTGGATCATTCTGACTGAACATCACTTATGGATTTCACTTTTTAAGAAAAAAGAGTAAAACATCAAAGAGTCCCAGTTTTGTGAAATCTGAGGACATTTGGCCATACAAATTTATCCTTGATCAAAATCCACAATTTTTTCTTTTAAAACTCTGGTCTTGCCTTCCATAGAACTGTTGGCCAATAAACCAGTACAATATTTTGGTCCAGCAAGGACAATCTGCTCAATGAAACTCTTTGAGTCCCTTATAATGCTCACATCAAAAAGCTTCCACTGGGTTTCCAGGCATCTAAGATGAAACAGTCAGAGCTGACTATTGCAGCCCACATGGGTACTCTTCAGGCCAGAAATTCAAATTTTGTCTTCAGGGCCTTAAAAGTCTCATTCACTGAAGCTGAAAAAAAACAATATCAGGGAATAGAAGAAAAAGTAAATGTGGCTATGTGTTTAAAAGAGGGAGATTGTCTTAAAGTATAAAAATTAGCAAAATTAGGAAAGAAAGGAGAGGATTACTGTCTTTTGGCTAAGCTATGGAGGTGTTGCCACTTAAGCAAAGTGCTTTCTAAGAGGTAGCACCTTCTGAGAATTCTGTTCTCTGGAGTTTGATGTGCAACAAAATCCAGCAGACTGAATGCTCCTCTGAGACTAAGATCTTAGCTGGAGCTCTGCAGCAGCAGCCTTAGCAACTGTCACAGAAAAACCAGTGGACGATACTTACATGGAAGAAGAAATGATTCCTTTTCCTAGGCATATTCAGTCACCAGCCAGCCAACACCAACATACAGCCTTCCGTGGTGCCCATAAACACAAATTCATCAACTCTAAAAATCCCATGATCTATGAGTGATTGCCAGCTATGATTTCCATATTTGAGTGGACACAGCCCTCTCGCAAACTGACTTTAGACAGTATCATCAGCTAATAGCTCAGCTCATCGCTACAGTCCACTCCCCTCCGCTATTGGACTCTTTCTCATTCTGTGATATAAACCTTAAGACCAAGAAGTTCCTCCCCTCCTCCCACCCAGGATGATTAATCCTTCAATGGAGAAACAGAAAGGTCATATTGTCTTCTGTCCACCTACTCAAATCAAAATATCATCCTTAAAAATGAAAGTCCTACCAAATTTCATGGAAGGATTTACTCCATTCCTACGACATCACACATGGTATCAACTGTTTTTCTCCTTTGAGAAATTTTATTAACCTCTTAGAGTTTTGGATCCTTAGCATTGTGTAAAACAATGATTGATAAGGCTTCCTCCAGCTCCAAGATGACAGGAGTCACTGAATCTATGATCATAAAAGATACTTTTTGGACCTGACTCCTCAGCCCATGATGTAGGAGTACTATAGTATCAGCCTAACTGCTTTTCTAGCTTTTGTCCCCATACACTGTCCACACTTACATTGTGACTACTTAGCCCTTATAATAAATAGCTCAGAATGCATCATTTCTGACCAAACTTCCCAAAGGCTCTTAATTAGGAAAACAAAATTCATTTTTGCCTAAAAATCAGTCAAAGCTTAGAAAAGTAATCGGGATTAGGTTCCAAAAGAATGTGTATTATAATCAGCTTTACTAAATTTCAACTTTAGACAAGACAAAAGAAAAATTCCACATACTGGTTTTACTAACTCTTTACAGTTAGTTATGACATTTCTCTTGTAAAAAATCTGACCCATTTCAACAGAGACATGGCATATTCATTAAGCCCCAAGTGAAACCACTACATAGGAACTCCAGAATTAATAGATCACTAGAGCTCCATCTTCTGAACTCTGGATGTAATTCATCAGCCACTTTGATTGTGTATCCATAGCACATCAGTAAGAGCACTGCCTTTTTGTCCTCTCTCAAATTATCTGTAAAATGGTGCATATTTATCTTCTATCTCCATGTGGATTGAAAGCTATTTGTTATTTTATATCAACCATGCATCCACACAGAATAACTAAAACAGATATGGAGTTTAATATCACATTGGAAGTGCACTTGCAATTATAATTATTCATAGAAACACATTTTAAGGCAAAGGAAGCCAGGACAGAATATGGTTTACCATAAATAGCTGAGCTGGGACCACAGTTCAGGTGTTCTAACTCCTCCAGATTATCCACTCTGCCACACCAATCACAGGAGGCACTTGTGAAGTGCTGAGACACAAAGGGTTATATTACTGGGCATTTCTTCCAATGTAATTGTAAAGGTGCATAGTTTTCATTTTGCCAGGTAAATATGGCTTTCACTGTACTTCTGGCACTAAGGGAAAAAATTAACCAACTGTCGAACAAAATACAATAACCCAGCAGACTAAATGACTGATATTCTGTGTCCTGAGTTGCACAGCCCTTACCTTTGTTAACTGTACCATCCTGGACCAGATGCACTGTGGCTTGACTCCAGGAAACAAATTAAATATTCTGCTAAAAGGGTAGGCAGACTGCTCAAGAGGGAAAAGACTATTAATTGTATATCTTTTCTATTTTTAGGCTTAATGTGCATTTTATTTGGCAGTAAGGGGCAGCATGAATAAAACTCCAATCCTAAGATGTTAATTTGCTTCCTCCAAAATGTGCTCATGTCAGTAAAGACCTTGGGAAATTGCTTACACCATTCCTTTGCCTTCAGGGAGAACCCTACACGTTGATACAGCCCAGAAAAAAACAAAACAAAACAAAAAAACCTCGAAGAACCTTTAACTCATGAAAGTCCAATATTTCTTTAAATATATGTAATTTATAAGATGATTTCTCTAAGAAGTGTTCTCAGAGTGACTTCACTGAAAAAGCATTGCACAGAAGACATCCCACTATTTCACCTGTTTTCCCATTAGCTTTCATGCTTAGAGTTTCTCTCATATTTACCCATGCAAATGTTCTTTATTTTTATTCTAATTTAATTTTATTTGCCATTGCTATCCTCATACCATACCTGAGAATGTGAGCTCCTTAAATGCAAGGGCTATGTGTTTTTAAAAGTATGTATGTAATATAGAGCACATAAGCTATAGTATAGTATTTATGGGACACACCATATATGCACACACATGTAACAAAATAATACTTTCTTTTTTGTTTGCTTTGGTTTTTTGATGTAGAGACTCACTATGCAGGCCCATTTGGCTTCAAATCATGGTCTTCCTATTTTCACTTCCCAAGTGCTGGGATTACAGATGTGTGCCAACATGCTCGGCTCATCTAGTGCATTCTTAAATAGCAGACTTCCCTTCAACTTTGCCACTATGCGAAAAAAAAAGTCCTGAGATAACTATGTCCATTATTCTTATCCTCTAACCATTTCTCTCATTATTTTAGCAAACACTCAATGTACTTTACCTTTTTGGCACTAGGTTTCCTTTTGAGAGTCTGAGCAAAGCTATGGGTCCTTTACCAAGAAAAATGACCATCTGTCTACATCCTTAACGTCTCAAATTCCATGGAGGTCAATAATGTCGCACAAAGGTCTGCGTGTTAAAAGTTTTGTTTCCAGAGTAGCACTATTAGGAGGTGCTGTGGACCTATAAGAATTGCAGCCTATTGGAAGGTCTTTAGGTCATCTGGAACATGCCCCTGAATGGGGCTATGGGATCCATGCCCATCCTCTGTCTTGCCTTTGTTTCTTGGTCGATAAAGTGAGTGGTTTTGTTCTGCCATATGCACGTACCTGATGTGCTGCCTCACCAGGGGCCCAACACATGGGCCATTCAATCATGAACTGGAACCCTTAAAGGTATGAGCCCAATTAAACCTTGTCTCTTTATAAGCTGATTATCTCAGGTATTTGAGATATCATAGCATCCAAGTTAACAACTGCCTCTCCACTATGTCTTACTTGGTTCTAACCTTTATTCTGTATGAACTATGTTCACATAGTTGAAGCAAACTGAGATCCTTGCAGCTCTCGTACATCTCACTGGCACATAGTTCAAGCTACTGCAGAGAACAAAAATGATCATTAAGGTGAATTGTAGAGGTGATTAACCAGTGGTCTTTCCCTTGGAGAACTATGCACTGTTGTCCAAAACAAGGTAAACATGCTCACCTTTTGGTCTTGACTATATGCCAGAATCCAGTCTTCTTGCTTGGGGTGGAAAAGCAGGCTCTGGATGTAAAAGTTCAGTCGGTACTTTTGATAGGTGGCCCCTTCATCTGAGCTGATCAATAAACTACTCTCAATTTCAGGGTCTGTGAGTAACATGATCTGCAGGAAAGAATTTTGGGGAAAGAAAACAACAGAAAGGTTTACAAATTTATAAAACTTGAACTACAATTTTGACAAGAGAAGCACAAGGAGCATGCAGAGGATATTCACACAAAAAGGATCTTCACTCATCAACATCATCATCATCATCAAAAGAAATGGTCTCTAAACTGAAGAGAACACCCACAGAGTGGGAGAAAATATTTGCCAATTATACATCAGACAAAGGGCTGATAACCAGAATATACAGGGAACTTAAAAAACTAAATTCTCCCAAAACTAATGAACCAATAAAGAAATGGGCATGTGAACTAAACAGAACTTTCTCAAAAGAAGAAATTCAAATGGCCAAAAACACATGAAAAAATGCTCACATCTCTAGCAATAAAGGAAATGCAAATTAAAACCACACTAAGATTCCACCTACCCCTGTTAGAAATAGCCATCATCAGCAACACACCAACAACAGGTGTTGGCGAGGATGCGGGGAAAAAGGAACCTTTTACACTGTTGGTGGGATGTAGACTAGTACAACCACTCTGGAAAAAAATTTGGAGGCTACTTAAAAGCTGGACATCGATCTACCATTTGATCCAGCAATACCACTCTTGGGGATATACCCAAAAGACTGTTACTCCAGAGGCACCTGCACATCCATGTTTATTGCGGCACTATTCACAATAGCCAAGTTATGGAAACAGCCAAGATGTCCCAGCACTGACGAATGGATTAAGAAATGTGGTATCTATACACAATGGAATTTTATGCAGCCATGAAGAAGAACGAAATGTTATCATTCGCTGGTAAATGGATGGAATTGAGAACATCATTCTGAGTGAGGTTAGCCTGGCTCAAAAGACCAAAAATCGTATGTTCTCCCTCATATGTGGACATTAGATCAAGGGCAAACACAACAAGGGATTGGACTATGAGCACATGATAAAAGCGAGAGCACACAAGGGAGGGGTGAGGATAGGTAAGACACCTAAAAAACTAGCTAGCATTTGTTGCCCTTAAGCAGAGAAACTAAAGCAGATACCTTAAAAGCAACTGAGGCCAATAGGAAAAGGGGACCAGGAACTAGAGAAAAGGTTAGATCAAAAAGAATTAACCTAGAAGGTAACACCCACGCACAGGAAATCAATGTGAGTCAATGCCCTGTATAGCTATCCTTATCTCAACCAGCAAAACCCCTTGTTCCTTCCTATTATTGCTTATACTCTCTCTACAACAAAATTAGAGATAAGGGCAAAATAGTTTCTGCTGGGTATTGGGGGGGGGGGAGGGGGTGGAGTGGGTGGTAAGGGAGGGGGTGGGGGCAGGGGGGAGAAATGAACCAAGCCTTGTATGCACATATGAATAATAAAAGAAAAATGAAAAAAAAAAAAAAAAAGGATCTTCACTCAGTTATCTGTATTCTCCTATCTTGTACGAATGCCACAAAACCGTTTTCACCAAGAAGTGAAATGGGCAAGACAATTTGTAAGGAGGCAAGAGGAAACAGAGCACTGCATTCTCTTATTCTATAGGACTCCTTTTTTATTTTTGTTTTTTTTTTTTAAAGTTATTTCCTTAACCTGGAACATTTCTTGCTATTCCCTTAACCTCAAACTTACTTCGTAGTGTAGCCTTGCCTACAATCCATTTGGGGGAAATAAAAAAGCAAGACTGGTTGCTGTCTGTTGTGGGAAGGACATAGAACATAAAGAGCATGGAACCTATTATTTTTCATTCCTATCACACACCCTTTGGTTTCACATCAGTAATATCCCTTTTAGCCTGATTTTATTAACCTTGAGTCAAAGTCTGGACTCTTAAAAGCGTTTTCTAGAAATATTACATAGGTTATTTTATCCCACCAACTTTACTACCTTGTAACCTACTATATAATTTATTTCTATTTTGTTTCTCATCTATAAACCCTCTAGTATAAATTGCATGAGAAGAGAGATATTTGTCTTTTTTCACAGATGCATTCCCAGCAGCTAGATTAAGGCTATGCATGTATTATACACACAATAAATGCTTGTCAAATAAATGAATGAATGGAGAAAGTTTTTAGAGTGGCCATGCAGACTTAGAAATCTGTCTAGAATAGCTTGCAAAGATTTGAATGTGAATCCATAAAAAAGCATATTTGGATGATTTTCACCATCTTTAACCTGTGGTCTATAATATGTAAAACCTCACAGTTTCAGATGCCTTGCCCTTTCTCTTTGGGATGTCTAATCTTTGCCAGAGCATTCTGAATAATCCACAATAGGAATAAGAGAAAAGAGCTACCCTGAAAGCTGGCTTTTAGTCTCTCATTTATGCCTATGGGAATGTGTGATAAAGTACCTCATTCTCCACTCTCTGTAGGTCTTCTTTTGCTCAAAGTGTGTACCCAACATCTCCAGACAGGTGGGCTCAATGCTACCCATTGTCTTCTTCCTCATAAATTTATTAATTGTCTTTTTATGAGTTTGGCTCAGAGAAGCAGGAAAGTTGTATTTAATATGTGGCTATATAAAGAAAAATAACCACAGCATAGGGTTTAAAGATTACTAGTGGAAGATGTATATGCCAAATTGAGAAGAAGAAAACCAGAGAGAGAGAATAACACCATGACATAAAAGAGCAAAGTGCCAGTCAAACACACAGGAGTTCTCAACAATTTGGAGGCAATCATATGAAATCCTCATCATAGTTAGTGTCACCTTTCAAGGTAGTGTCTGGTCGTAAGGATTGTGTATTAGACACACACTGACTAGACACTAGTTAACCAGAATGAATTTAATGTGCCTTGCTGTATGTCTTCTACCCTCCTCTTCTTGAAGAAGACAAAAGAGATATAGTGGGCTGAGGAGAATGCTGTGGCTATGAACTGTGCTCTGGTCAAGATAGGAAGCACACACAAAACTGGAGACTCATTGCTTCTCAGGCCATGTTCCAGCAAAGACACTGCCATCAGACACAAATTCTGATAAAGTTATGGGCTTGTCTGTCTCAAGTTCACCAGACAGCTTCCTTCATTGGATGACTGACACAGAGCAATCAGGTTATCTGCTAAATACAAACTCACATGGCTTCAGTAAAATCTAATGCATGTATTAAGCAAGGATATTTAGATGGCTCCTAATTTCACAAAAATATTTCTAGATGATTTCATATTGACTGGCACATTAAAAAAAAAAGCTGTCATTTCCCAAATAACAAATAAGCTATCAAATGATCATATTGCTTTGTGTCTCTAACCAGAATTAACAATAATGTATAACAACCTTTTGTCCTACCACCAAGAAGTAATTTCCATGATAATATGAAGAAGCCCAATTTTACAGAGCACCTATTATTTCAGGCAAAGCCACGTTCCCTCCCACCCCATTTCCTAGTTGTCTGTTAACCAGAATATGCTTTCTTCTCTATCTGTCTCTCACTACCTGCTTTTTCTGACAGACTGCTTCATAGAAATAAAATATAAAATAAAATAAAATAAAGTTGGGCACAGACTCTCCCCAAATCAAACATCAAACTGATTTTTATTTATCTTTGAGTTAAATTTTAAATACTCATTTTACTATAAAGTCATCAGAGTCATCAGACTGCATGAGATATTTGGCCGTGGTGACATGATGAAATGTAGAAATATTTTCCCACATATAGAAAAAAAAAAACCCTAGTTTTCTTGATTTTTTTTTTCTTCTCTCTCTCTCTTTCTCTCTCTCTCTCTCTCTCCCTCTCTTTTGGTGGTAGTACTAGGGTTTGAACTCAGGGCTTCACACTTGCTAGGCAGGCACTCTACCACTTGAGACACTTTGCCAGCCCTTGACTTTTTTTCCCTTGGTGCTGAAAATAGGCAGACCAAAGTCCCACCTTCTCTATACAACATTCACCTGAAACTCTCCATTTGGGAATCTTGTATTCTGGAAATGATAAAAGAAAGTAGGAAACACCCCGCTGAGAGTTTTATAGGAATGTCTGTCTGTTCAACACAAACATCCCAATGGGTCTTCTCTCAGATTTGTGCTCAAAACTAACAGGTCAATATGGATTGACTTTTGCTTAGCCAACTGACTTACAGGAAAATAAATAAATACATACACATTGACACACAATGCTGTGTACATGTACTCCAAATAGATAATCACAACCTTCAAATTAATTAGGTTATAATTGGTCCAGCGATTGAGATGTAATTCATAGTTAATGAATTGTTGACTATAAAGTAAAACTTTGTTTTTTCAGTCTTAAATTTAAATTCTTTCATGGCTTTACTGCAAATGAATTGAAGTTTGTCCTGTTATTCTGTAGGTTACAAAAAGTAAATAAATTAATGTCAGTAAATCATTTAACATGATTAAACAGAAAAGGTGTAACCTACACGGGCAAAGTGAAAATAAGGAATGTAATCCTGCCTTCAGACATAGATGGTGCTGCTTACACATAAACAAGTCCTATCTGATCAGAAAGTATTTCAAAGGCAAATGTTTCATGGTTAAATTAAATTTAATGACTGCTCTTCAAACAAAACACACTGCATTTCTTTAAAATGCCAATGACCCCTGTTTTGCTACTTTGGGATGTCTGCCTACCCTGTCAGTCTCTTCATGTGAACTTGAATAAATGGTGTTTTGCTGAGTTTTAATCCTCTATTTCTGGAGTATGACTTGAGTAACAGAATTTTAGGAGAACTTTGGAAAAGGCATGAATCTAAAGCATCACACATTCCCAAATTGAACTCTCTAATAAAGGGCTTTTTGTTTACCTGGAACAAAGCTTATTCCATAATAGGTCCATATATATTTGTGAAAGAATAAATGAATGAGAAAATGGATGAATGAATACTTTCGTTCTTGCCTTCTGCTGAATACAGCCCAGGAAGCCCTGCTGCAGCTGAAGTACAAGTCCTCTTGCTCTCTGCTGCTCTGCTTGGAAACAAGAAGTGTGAAGACAAGAGGAAGAAACTGCCTTGAACAGGAATAATTATTCTGTGCTCAGATCAGCCCAGGCGTGATTAG